TGCATGACCCCAGAGGAGCAGCCCCAGTGGAAACTGCTTTTTTCCCCCTCAGGCACCAAGAAGGAAAGTCGGGAAGGGCAGATGAAGGAAAGAGTGAGGTCTGGTGGGGTGAGGTCCTGCCTCTGCTGCCCTCACCTGACAACAGCTAGATCAGGGGTGGGCAGTTATTTCAGTTGGAGGGCCACTTAATGAGTTTTGGTGAGCTGTTGAGGGCCGCAAAGGTAGCTCCACCCCTTGACAGGTGCCCTGCTCCCTGGTCGCCATCTTGGGACCGGAAGTCCTGTCCCTAACCTGTGACCTTTGCCACCAGAAGTCCCTCCCCTTGCCCTCAGAAGTAATCCTTTCTCGAAGGGTAGGGTTGTCATCTGGAACCAGAAAAAAACCCAAATCATATGCTAAAAATCAAACATAACGCATTTAAATTTTACTTCAGAAATATGTTTGTCCTGCTTTACATGTGTTTGCGTACTGTATATAGAAGTGATTGCATAATAGCTCAAAAATAAAGTCTTACTTTTGTATAGTCTGTGTGGTGGGGTGGATGTGGGGTTTCTAGAGGGGTGTGGTTGTGTGTATGGGCCAGGGTGTGGAGGTGTGTGGCCAGGGTGTGAGGGGTGGTATGGTAGTGGGTGTGGGGGGGGTGCCCCCCCACCCATAATGCACAGCCCCTGCCACTGGTGACAGCAGCAGCAAGTGGCAGGCCCTTGGAGCACTCCTGACCCTTGCAGGTGGAGACCCCCGATGGTGCTTCCTCCAGGAATGGCATGTGGCAGCATGAAGCAGGGCCAGGCTGGCGCACCTCCATTGTGCAGGACTCCCCATGTCTCGTGCAGCTCCTGGGACCCAGCCAGAGCCATGTGCCACAAAAGGGGAGCCCTGTGTGATGGAGCCAGTGGCCTGCCCCCGCTCCTTGCTGATATGTGCAGCATCTGGGTCTCCATCGGGAAGCAGGGAGTGGAGCCAGCCTTGCTTCACTGTGCAGGGCTTCCCTCTGGTGGCACGAGTCCTGGGAGCTGCACATGAGCCATGGGGAGCCCAGCATGATGGAACCGGGCTGACCTGGGTGCACCGCACTCCTGCCATCTCTCTGGGCATGGGCCCTGAACTCTGCCTTCCTACTCGGCTGCAGCTTCTACCTGCCCCCTAGTGCTTCCCTACCTGCTATCCAGAGTGCTGCAGCAGGGACACGAGGAGGAGTTGGGGCAGCTGAGCAGTCCTGGTAGTAGCAGCAGTGGCCCCACCTGGGTGCTGTGTGCTGGCCGGGGCCGAGGCTGTCCCTCGCATGAGGGTTGGAGCACAGTGTACTGCCTTGGTGGGAGTGGGCAGAGCTTGGGACTCACGCAAGCTCAGCAGGGCAGCTCAGGCTGGGTGGGATACAGTTAATTGGTGGGCACCTGCCCATGGACTGGATGGAATTGCCTGGCAGGCCAGTTCCTAGCTCAGTAGGGGTGCACCATTAGAGACTTTTTGGGCAGATATTGATGGCCAACTTTTTGTTTCTTAACGAGCCATATCAGCCAATTACTGATCTGATTGCTGATATGCAGCCCAGCAGCTTGGAGAGCAGCTTCCAGCTGGTAAGCCTGTTGTGGGGAAAAGGGCATAGAGGGAGGAAAGTGGCATGCAGGGGACAGATCGAGACCCCTGTGATGAGGGAGGGGGTGGGGCTGGAGCAGGGGCAGGCAATACTGAGCCAGGGCAGAGTGCGGGACAGAGATATGGCTTGTCTGGGTGGGGGGGTAAGTGGGGAGGGGCAGCTCCCGCTGCTTCGCACACCTCAGGAAGGCATGGGGGGCATGTGCCCTCAGGTCTGTGCATGGGGCAAGGGCACGTTGCTGCTGTGGGCTGGGGCCGGGGGTGGTGCCAGGCTCTTCCAGGTGGGGGGTTGTGCCGGGGTTGTTCTCGAGGCAGGTGGGGCAACTTTGGGGGACTATGGAGTGGGCTTCAAGAGGCATCTTAGTAATAATTTGTTAGTATTTAAAATTCTAGCATATTGCTTATTCATGACAGCACAGAGGCAGAGAGGGATCTTGGAGTCATGATTGACTCCAGGATGAATATGAGTCGCCAATGCGACGAAGCAATAGGCAGAGCCAACTGCACCGTGTCCTGCATCAACAGGGGCATCACTAACAGGTCCAGAGAGGTCTTGCTCCCCCTCTATGCGGC